ATGCACACAGATATCACTAATAATAATTAGGCAAATCTGACGATGTGAAAAAACCATGAAAAGTGATGAATTTGAGGGAAACGCTGATTTTGTCGTAACTATTTTAAAAACATGTTAGTGGATGAAATGATGCACCGGTGGAGGTGTACAGTGTGATTGACAGCTCTGCTCACCAGTCTGTCATGAGGGTGGATCCCGCAGTAGGAGGAGCTCTGGGCGGGGCCGTGGGCTGAGTTCCCTCCCCCCAGCATGCTGCCATGGTAACCTTGCTGGCCCATACTGCTGCTGCTGCTGCTCCAGTGATCTCCACTGTGACCGTCTGACAGAAACACACACACACACGTGTGAGACGAGCTGACTCACATCAGGTTCGTTCACGTCTTAATGCATGAAGAGGAAACGTGCTGGTGTGATGGTGGAGTGGACGTGAGTACCTGGCATGAAGAAGGAGCTTGGGAAGCCGGCGCTGGGAGGTTTGGAGGAGGGGTAACCCGGTGAGTCCCTGTTGTAGTCGGCTGTACTGGCAGACGGAGCGTACACCTGCAACACAACACGCACAAACACGTCATTCACAAGTTTTCACACTAAAATACTCTCAAACACAAACAGCCCAGTTTCCTGTTTCTGACAGAGAATGAATCACTTCCTGAACCATCACTGGTCTTTGCCTCTGAATTTCAAGGAAACGCGAATTTGAGAATTTATCACTTTATTGATTATATCATATATAAATGATCTTATATCTACAAGCCTTGATAGAAATCATTTTCAAAACTCTTTACCATGGTAACCACATCAGCTACACCTACAGGGCCCACCCCCCCCCCCACCCCACCTTGCTGCACTCGCTATGTAACGTAGCTCCGAACATGTCGAACAACCTGAGCACGTCTCCTCTCACTCCGACTCGTCTGATGACCAGTGTGAGTGTGTGAGCGCCTCGTCTCCGTCATGCAACAGACATGTAGTAAAAAGCGAGACGGAGAAGCAGCAGCCTGTCATCACTCAGAACAGGTGACGCTCCTCCTCTGGAACAAAGCATGAGAACACAATGCCTGTGTTTGGTCATGCCTTTGGCTGGGGGGTCCCCGCAGCATGCCTCAGAGTGTGTGTGTGTGTGTGTGTGTGTGTGTGCGCGTATAGCGTGCGAACACTCAGCCATGACGCTAGCTCGCACTGCATGACGCAAACCGTGGAACAGCTGTTGAAAGCGCTCTTCTCTCGCCCTATCTCCCCCACTGATTCACATGAAACGACCCCCCCC